ATCGAGGAATTGAAAAATCAAAGAAGAAAAATTTGAAAAATTGAATAAACGAAAAATGTAAAATCTAAAGAAACATTGAAAAAATAAAAGACATGAAAAAGGAAAAATTGTGATACATATTCAGTGAAAAATATGACAATTAAAAACCGAGAAAATGAAAAACAAAAAGCAAAATGTTGAAAAATTGAAGAAACGAAGAATTCAGAAATCGAAAGAGTAAAAATTGAGAAACCAAAAAATGAAATATGTATGTAATATAAAATCGAAATATGTATTAAAAACTGGAAATCCAAAAATTGCAAAATTGGAAAATCGAGGAATTGAAAAATCAAAGAAAAATTTGAAAAATTGAGTAAACGAAAAATGTAAAATCTAAAGAAACATTGAAAAAATAAAAGACATGAAAAAGGAAAAATTGTGATACATATTCAGTCAAAAATATGACAATTAAAAACCGAGAAAATGAAAAATAAAAATCAAAATCTTGAAAAATTGAAGAAACGAAGAATTCAGAAATCGAAAGAATAAAAATTGAGAAACCAAAAAATGAAATCTGTATGTAATATAAAATCGAAATATGTATTAAAAACTGGAAATCCAAAAATTGCAAAATTGGAAAATCGAGGAATTGAAAAATCAAAGAAAAATTTGAAAAATTGAATAAACGAAAAATTTAAAATCTAAAAAAATTGATAAAATAAAGGACATGAAAAAGGAAAAATTGTGATACATATTCAGTCAAGATGAAAATTAAAAACCGAGAAAATGAAAAATAAAAATCAAAATCTTGAAAAATTGAAGAAACGAAGAATTCAAAAATAGAAAGAATAAAAATTGAGAAACGAAAAAATGAAATATGTATGTAACGTAAAATCGAAATATTAAAAACTGGAAATCCAAAAATTGCAAAATTGGAAAATCGAGGAATTGAAAAATCAAAGAAGAAAAATCTGAAAAATTGAATCAACGAAAAATGTAAAATCTAAAGAAACATTGAAAAAATAAAAGACATGAAAAAGGAAAAATTGTGATACATATTCAGTCAAAAATATGACAATTAAAAACCGAGAAAATGAAAAATAAAAATCAAAATCTTGAAAAATTGAAGAAACGAAGAATTCAGAAATCGAAAGAATAAAAATTGAGAAACCAAAAAATGAAATATGTATGTATGTAATGTAAAATTGAAATATGTATTAAAAACTGGAAATCCAAAAATTGCAAAATTGGAAAATCGAGGAATTGAAAAATCAAAGGAAAATTTGAAAAATTGAATAAACGAAAAATTTAAAATCTAAAGAAATATTGATAAAATAAAGGACATGAAAAAGGAAAAATTGTGATACATATTCAGTCAAGAAGATGAAAATTAAAAACCGAGAAAATGAAAAATAAAAATCAAAATCTTGAAAAATTGAAGAAACGAATAATTCAGAAATCGAAAGAATAAAAATTGAGAAACCAAAAAATGAAATATGTATGTAATGTAAAATCGAAATATGTATTAAAAACTGGAAATCCAAAAACTGCAAAATTAGAAAATCGAGGAATTGAAAAATCAAAGAAGAAAAATTTGAAAAATTGAATAAACGAAAAATGTAAAATCTAAAGAAACATTGAAAAAATAAAAGACATGAACAAGGAAAAATTGTGATACACATTCAGTCAAGAAGATGAAAATTAAAAACCGAGAAAATGAAAAATAAAAATCAAAATCTTGAAAAATTGAAGAAACGAAGAATTCAAAAATCGAAAGAATAAAAATTGAGAAACGAATAAATGAAATATGTATGTAACGTAAAATCGAAATATTAAAAACTGGAAATCCAAAAATCGCAAAATTAGAAAATCGAGGAATTGAAAAATCAAAGAAGAAAAATTTGAAAAATTGAATAAACGAAAAATGTAAAATCTAAAGAAACATTGAAAAAATAAAAGACATGAAAAAGGAAAAATTGTGATATATATTCAGTCAAAAATATGAAAATTAAAAACCGAGAAAATGAAAAATAAAAATCAAAATCTTGAAAAATTGAAGAAACGAATAATTCAGAAATCGAAAGAATAAAAATTGAGAAACCAAAAAATGAAATATGTATGTAATGTAAAATCGAAATATGTATTAAAAACTGGAAATCCAAAAATTGCAAAATTGGAAAATCGAGGAATTGAAAAATCAAAGAAGAAAAATTTGAAAAATTGAATAAACGAAAAATGTAAAATCTAAAGAAACATTGAAAAAATAAAAGACATGAACAAGGAAAAATTGTGATACATATTCAGTCAAGAAGATGAAAATTAAAAACCGAGAAAATGAAAAATAAAAATCAAAATCTTGAAAAATTGAAGAAACGAAGAATTCAAAAATCGAAAGAATAAAAATTGAGAAACGAATAAATGAAATATGTATGTAACGTAAAATCGAAATATTAAAAACTGGAAATCCAAAAATCGCAAAATTAGAAAATCGAGGAATTGAAAAATCAAAGAAAAATTTGAAAAATTGAATAAACGAAAAATGTAAAATCTAAAGAAACATTGAAAAAATAAAAGACATGAAAAAGGAAAAATTGTGATATATATTCAGTCAAAAATATGAAAATTAAAAACCGAGAAAATGAAAAATAAAAATCAAAATCTTGAAAAATTGAAGAAACGAAGAATTCAGAAATCGAAAGAATAAAAATTGAGAAACCAAAAAATGAAATATGTATGTAATATAAAATCGAAATATGTATTAAAAACTGGAAATCCAAAAATTGCAAAATTGGAAAATCGAGGAATTGAAAAATCAAAGAAAAATTTGAAAAATTGAATAAACGAAAAATTTAAAATCTAAAAAAATTGATAAAATAAAGGACATGAAAAAGGAAAAATTGTGATACATATTCAGTCAAGATGAAAATTAAAAACCGAGAAAATGAAAAATAAAAATCAAAATCTTGAAAAATTGAAGAAACGAAGAATTCAAAAATCGAAAGAATAAAAATTGAGAAAAGGGAAAAGTGGATAACTATAAATCCAAAAATTGTAAAATTGGAAATTTTAATTTGGAAAATCGAGGAACGAAAATCAAAAATTGGATAAAGGAACAAATTATAATATCGAAAGAAACATTGAAAAATAGAAGGAATGAAAAATAAAAATTAAGAACTTGAAAAATTGGGCAAACGAAAAATTGAAAAATCGAAAATTTAAAACTTGAGAAACTGAAAAATCGGAAAATGAAAAATTGTAATATCAAAAATTGCGAACCAAAAAACTGAAGAAACGAAAAATTTAAAATTGAAAGAAAAGAAACTGAGAAACGAAAAAACGAAATATGTATCTATACATATAACGTAAAATCGAAATATTAAAAACTAAAGAAATCGGAAAATCGGATAAGTGGAAATCCAAAAATTGCAAAATTGAATAAACGAAAAATGATAAAATCGAAAGAAACATTGAAAAAATAAAGGACTCGAAAAAAGGAAAAATTGTGATATAAAATCGAGAAAAAGAAAATTAAAAACCCGGGAAAACGAAAAATAAAAATCAAGAATTTGAAAAATAGAATTCAAAAATCGAAATATTGAAAATGAAGGAATCGTGGACTAAAATAAAAAATCAAACATTGAAATTTTGAAAAATTGATTAAACGAACAAATTATAAAATAGAAAGAAACATCGAAAAAATAAATGAAATGAAAAACAAAAATAAAGAAGTTGAAAAATTGCGCAAACGAAAAATTGAAAAATTAAAAATTGAGAAACTGAAAAATCGAAAAATGGAAAAGTGTATACAAAAGATTGCAATCCAAAAATTGAAGAAACGAAAAATTCAAAAAACGAAAGAATAAAAATTGCAAAGAAAAAAGGAATTATGTAATGTAAAATCGAAATATTAAAAATTAAAGAAATCGGAAAATCGGGTAACTGGAAATCCAAAAATGGCAAAATTGAAAAATCGGTTAATGGAAAAATCAAAGATGGAAAATTTGAAAAATTGAATAAACAATAAATTATAGACGATCACAGTCAAGGCCATATTTTGAATTTTTGAATTTTTCGCGGGCTTTCAATTTTTTTTCACATGCCAATTTAAAGTACTTTGCAAAATTGGTATACATATATTTCTCTTATATTATACGTGATTATTTACCATTTTCAGTTTTTAAAATTTAAGAACGAGTAATATTAAGATTTTGCAAATTACTACTTTTTTATTTGTATAAAATAAGCGAATTTTTTCTATAGATTAAAAGATTTTGTTATTTCCTTAACACATACTTCAAAAATAAAGTTTATACGACTTTGTAATTTAAATTATTGCAAAATTTTCATGATTTTCCTAAATCACTCTTATTTTGCCCTTAACGCGTATTGCTGGTTGCCTGTTTAACAGGCGCTGCCATGTATTCAGTTAAGGAATGCGTATAACCTCTTCGTTGTGAATAAGTTTGTTATTTTTTTGTGGACACTCGTAAATCATACTGTGGGCATTTTTGGGCTGTACTACTTTTATTTGTTTCCAAGGTAAGCAGTCATGACAAAAAGGGGGACGTTAAATCTACTGAGTGATTAATTTCTAATACAGATGTCACGAAAGCGTTGTGCTGCACCTGGATGTACATCAGCAAGCGAATCGACACACTCTTTCTTCACTGTGCCAAAATCAGCAGCAAAGCGAAAATTGTGGGAAAATTCGCTAGATATATCACTTCGTGAAACACAAGTTGTTTGTGAATTGCACTTCAAAAAGGAGGATATTACAAAAGAACACATTTTCTATCGACAGGATAAGACTATTCTTCAAACGGTTGGTAACCATTATTTTGAAAGCGCCAAGTTGTCAATGTCAGAGTGCCTACTTCTAATACAGGGTGATTTTTTTGTCAGTTCACGCCTGGATATGCTTGAATAGGCAACACATTTTACTTTTCATAAACGACTTCGTTTTAAATTTTTTATAAACAATAAAATTTTCTTATTTTGCAGGTTGAAAAAACCCCGTCTTAGTGACCAAGCTATCCCTAACCCTTTTGTCGTTCAGCCTGAGTCCGCGCAAGAAAATGTCTCAGAACTGATAACAAGTTGTTCAGAAAACGCCGTTTCCAACATTTTCAATGACCTCTACTCCAGCAACATTCCACTTTCCCTTCCACCATCCTGGGCGAAAATAATTCCCGTTAATTCAACTCTAATTGTTTTTGCAAATTTTCATTATAATGAAGTTGGCATCGTTCCATTCAAAGAAGTTGTAGTGAATGTAACAGGCGAAATCAGTTATCAATGTTTCGGTAAACCAGTACTAGGTGACTTCGACTCGTCTTTGAGTACATTGGAGTCTTTGGAAACCATAATTTTTAAATTTGATTCACTAAGCGTTTGTAAAGGTACTACAGACATTGAGAGTTGTCCAACAGTGATCAAAGATAACTGTGGAAAGTACAGACACACACTTTGCCCTGTTATTCTCCATGAAGCTTCTCTCAGACTGTGTCGTTTTTGTTCAAACGTAAAAAAGAGTTGTTGACGTATATTAAACTTTAACATCTCTAAAGAGTTTAAATTTATAATAATTTATTTATAAAGTCATACGAGAAAAAATCAGTTTAAATAAGTTATTTACAAATAAAGAAACATGTTGTGTGTATGTTTCAAGTGAATTTTCCCATAACAAAATTTTGTGGTGACGTTTATTCCATCAAATTTCCCGTACCAACCGTATATTCTATGTACAGCCGTGGACGAAACCAAATTAGACGTAAGGAGAATATTCTATGGACATGCCTCTTATCTGTCAACAATCAACCTGTGGTCTGTCAAAACATAACCTAAAACTTTCAAGCGCACGTGCGTGCTTGTATAAAACTTTTATTATTCACTGTTTTTGGGAGAACGAAGTAGCAAATTAACATGGTTTGTTATATTTTTTAATTTTTGTGTGATATAATTTCCAATTTTTACATTCCAGACCAAAATCAAAGACTTGGCAAAGTGCAAACACCCCAACAGCCGTAAAACAAATGCGCTAGTAAAACAGATAAAAAAGTCAGTATAAGAACGTTTACTACGTGCTGACATTATTGTAATATTTGAAACAATTTTAGGACCAAATCGCGTGAAAAAAGCAAACAGGCTGGCAACATAAAGTTGAATCTTTTAGGGGAGAAATTGTTGTGGTTTCGAGATAATTTGGAGCCCAATTCTGCTACATACACACCTGAACTTACAATAAAAGTTATTGAAACGTAAGTTTCGCTCAAGGGTGATTTTCAAAGTTTGAAATTTATTTTTATTTTTAGCTACTTGGGGAGGTTTGATGAGGAACTGGAACAAATTAAAATAAAACACTCAATAGGTTGTAGGAAAAATCGCCAACATGCTAGCAGAGAAGATATTATTAATTTAACAATCAAGAAAGAAAGAGAGGAATTTAATTCCTGTGGTTTAGGTAAATTTGAACTTTTTTGTGTTTTGTTGGCATAACTAAATTCCCTAAATGTTGAGTGTCAAATTAATAGATCGATTCTGTAACTTGTTATGTTAATAACATTCTGTTATCACTATGTAAACACAGCTAACATTCTGTTGTTGCTATGTAATAACATATTTAACATAAATTGCAATTCGCTAAGCTTCTTTCTGTTATGTTAATAACATTATGTTATTAAAATACTCTGTAAAATAACAGAGACATTTGAGTCAATGTTATTAACATAATGCGGTTATTTTGAGGTTTATTAATTAATAATATCACAAATTTGACTGAGGTGGCAAAAGAAGTAAAATGACAGAAGTGGATGATTTTCTACCCGTTTTCGGTTACTTATTATTAGAAGACGAAATTCAACGGTAGGTCTTTCAATTCATAGTATTACTAAAAATATTACAATACATGTATTATATGAACAGAATGAGAATTCGCCTGAGAGAGCTTCGCGACAATCAAAATTCCTTTGAAAATTTAACAGAGACGGAATTTAGAAAGTCCTTTCATTTTAGCAAAAATATGACCCGTTTCTTGCTGGAGAGGTTGGAACCTCATTTGGGAAATCTACGTGCCAGTGATATTCCGGGATACTTAAAAATTTTAGCCACATTGAAGTTCTTAGGCCATGGCTCCATACCAACACTGCGTAGGAATGTCTTCTTCTGTTGCCATGAGTCAACCATCGGTTAGCAGGGTCATGACTTAAATTTGTCACCTAATTAGTGAAATTTTAATGCCTGTCTGGATCTAGTTCCCAACGACAGCAGAAGCGATAATATCTACTAAGCAAAAATTTTATGAAAAAACACATTTTCGTGGTGTATTTGTTTGACAGTGACAGATGATGAAAATGGTGTCATTACTTCGAAAAATAACATTTTCGGACAAATGACACATCTGTTATTTAGGTACTAACATAACGGTTTACAGAATACGACATTTGTTGTTTTATGTTAACGTCCTGATAACATAGCAATTTTAATAACAGAAATTTAAAATAACATAATGTTAACTGATTGTTACAGAATCGACCTATTAATTTCCTTCATTGTTACAGAAATTCCTGATTTACTGTGTGTTTCCCAGTTTACCCTTCTAAAGCAGTGGAACGGCGAATTAAGATTTTTGCCAAAATTTAAACTCAAAAGATATAGCAGAAGTCAACTGGAGGCTCCTATTACAAAAACAAGTGAAAAGGAAAACTGTCAGAAAGGAATGACTGTTAAAACAAATGCATTAATGGATACTGATTAAAAAACTGCCAAAAGTGTATTTTATTTATTTTTAATAATTTAACGTTTCTACGTGATACTCAAAACATGTTCCACACGGCATTTTGTTGTAGAAAAATATAAACTTTGCATTTAAGCTCCGCCCCCCGTCTCACGACCAATAAAAAGATCAGCTACAATTGAAATGTGACTGGTGGGTGGGGCTTATCGTGTGATTTTTTTATAGATAATCTTTCAACAATAAAATACTTAAAATATCAAATGGTAAATTTGGGGTTGGAATTATGTTTTGAATATCGTGCTGTTGAAAATAGGTAGGTACACATTAAGAAAAAGAGAGCAATAGTTAAGCCCCCTCTTAGTTGTGATGAATTTTTTATTCGTTGTCAGATAGAGGGGCGGAGTTTAATTGCAAAATCCATATTTTTCTACAAAAATTTACCATTTTAAACGTATTGTTAAGTTTCTTCTTCTTCTTCTCTTCAGTTTTTAAGAAGTGACATAAACTGAAGTGAAATTGAAGAAAAATTCAAACATCCAGAAATCCAAAAATGAAAAATTGAAAAATTTTAAATAAAAAAATTAATAAATAGGGAGAAATTGAATATTAAAAGATTGAAAGTTCGGAATCTTGAAATATCGAGAAATCGAAAAATAAGAAATTGAAAAATTCCGAAACTAAAATATCAAAAACTTGAGAAATGGAAGAAAAGAATCGAAAAATCGAGAAATCTAAAAATCGAAACATCAGAAATCGTAAAATTGAGAAATGTAGAATTGAAAAACACAAATACAGAACAAATGAAAAATCAAAAAATCCAGAAATCGAGAAAAAACCAAAAATTTAAAAAACTGAAAAATTAAATATCGAAAAATTGAAAAATCTAAAATTTAACAATTGAAAAATCGCAAAAATAAAAAACCGAAAACTTGCAAAATGGAAAAATTGAAGAATTGAAAATGTGGAAAAAAAGTAGAAATTGAAAATTTTCAAACCTGAAATGGTGAAAAATTGGGAAATCAAAAAACTGAACAATCGAATCATCAAAGAATTGGAAATTCGAAAAATCGGAAAGTTCAAAAAATGACAAACATCGAAAAATCGAAACATCAACGAAAAATTTAGAAATCGAAAAAGCAAAAATTGAAGAAACGAGAAATTGAAAAGTTGAAAAATCAAAAAACTGAAAAATTGAGCTGATAAATCGAAACATTGAAAAGTCGAGGAAACAAGAAATCGAGAGAAGTTAAATACTAAAAAATTGAAACATCGGGATCTTGAAATATCGAGAAATCGAAAAATAAAAATTGAAAAATTCCCAAACTGAAACATGGAAAACTTGAGAAATGGAAGAAAAGTTTAAGAATCGAAAAATTGAAAAATCTAAAAATCAAAAAGTCCAAGAATATAAAAAATCGAAAAACCAAAACCAACATGTCAATAAATCGAAACATCAGAAATCGTAAAATCGAGAAATGTAGAATTAAAAAAAAATACAAGAATTGAAAAACCCAAATATAGAACAACTGAAAAATCAAAAAATCCAGAAATCGAGAAAAAAACAAATATTTAAAAAATTGAATAATTAAATATCGAAAAATTGAAAATCTGAAAAAAAACTAGAAATTGAAAATTTTCAAAAAACTGGAAATTCGAAAAATCCAAAAATTCAAAAACTGACAAACATCAAAAAATCGAAACATCCACGAAAAATTTAGAAATCGAGAAATTGAAAAGTCGAAAAATAGGAAAGTTGAAAAATCAAAAACTTGAAAAATTGAAGAACTGAAAAATGGAAACTTTGAAAAGTCGAGAAAACAAGAAATCGGAAAATCAAAACATCCATAAGCCGAAAAATTGAAAAATCAAAAACTCGAAATTCGAAAAATCGAAAAATCCAGAAATTGAAATGCTGAAAAATTAAGAAATGGAAAACATGAAAAATCGAGAACTCGAAAAATCAAAGTCAAATTAAAAAAAAAATAAAAAAAATTGATTCATCGCGGCGGTGCGGATGGGTGGGGCTTAATTTTTGACTTTTTTTTCTTAATATGTGTAGTTATCTTTTAACAACACGATACGTAAAACATGTTCCACAGGGTGCTATCTTGTAGAGAAATGTGAACTTTGCATTTAAGCTCCGCCTCCCGTCTCACGACCAATAAAAAAGATTAATCACAATTGAGATGGGACGGGTGGGTGGAGCTTAACCTGTGATTTTCTTAGTACATATAGATAGTCTTCTTTCAACAATAAAATAGTTAAAATATCAAATGGTAATTTTGGGGTTAGAATTATGTTTTAAATATCGTGCTGTTGAAAATAGGTACACATTAAGAAAAAGAGGGCAATAGTTAAGCCCCACCCACCCGCCCGTGTCTTAGTTGTGATGAATTTTTTATTCGTTGTTAGATAGAGGGGCGGAGTTTAATTGCAAAATCCATATATTTCTACAAAAATTTACCATTTTAAACATATTGTAAGTTTCTCCTTCTTCTCTTCAATTTTTAAGAAAAGAAAATGAAAAATTGAAAAATTTTAAATAAAAAAAAATAAATAGAGAGAAATTAAATTTAAAAAAATTGAAACATCGGGATCTTGAAATATCGAGAAATCGAAAAATAAAAATTGAAAAATTCCCAAACTGAAACATGGAAAACTTGAGAAATGGAAGAAAAGTTTAAGAATCGAAAAATTGAAAAATCTAAAAATCAAAAAGTCCAAGAATATAAAAAATCGAAAACCAAAACCAACATGTCAATAAATCGAAACATCAGAAATCGTAAAATCCAGAAATGTAGAATTAAAAAAAAATACAAGAATTGAAAAACCCAAATATAGAACAACTGAAAAATCAAAAAATCCAGAAATCGAGAAAAAAACAAATATTTAAAAAATTGAATAATTAAATATCGAAAAATTGAAAATCTTAAAAAAAACTAGAAATTGAAAATTTTCAAACCTGAAATGGTGAAAAATTGGGAAATCCAAAAACAGAAAAAATCGAATCATCAAAAAACTGGAAATTCGAAAAATCTAAAAATTCAAAAACTAACAAACATCGAAAAATCGAAACATCAACGAAAAATTTAGAAATCGAAGAAGCAAAAATTGAAGAATCGAGAAATTGAAAAGTCGAAAAATAGGAAAGTTGAAAAATCAAAAACTTGAAAAATTGAAGAACTGAAAAGTCGGGAAAACACGAAATCGGAAAATCAAAACATCGATAAAACGAGAAATTGAGAAATCAAAAAAAACTTAAAAATCGAAAAATCAAAAGACCGAAAAATTGAAAAACCAAAAACTCGAAATTCGAAAAGTCGAAAAATTAAGATATCGAAAAATCCAGAAATTGAAAAATTCCTAAAATTGAAATGCTGAAAAATTAAGAAATGGAAAACATGAAAAATCGAGAACTCGAAAAATCAAAGTCAAAAAATAAAAAAAATGATTCATCGAGGCGGTACGGATGGGTGGGGCTTAATTTTTGACTTTTTTTTCTTAATATGTGTAGTTTTCTTTCAACAACACGATACTTAAAACATGTTCCACAGGGTATTTTCTTATAGAGAAATATGAACTTTGCATTTAAGTTCCGCCTCCCGTCTCACGACCAATAAAAAAGATTAATCACAATTGATATGGGACGGGTGGGTGGGGCTTATCCTCTTAGTACATATGGATAGTCTTCTTTCAACAATAAAATAGTTAAAATATCAAATGGTAATTTTCGGGTTAGAATTATGTTTTAAATATCGTAGGTACACATTAAGAAAAAGAGGGCAATAGTTAAGCCCCACCCACCCGCCCGTGTCTTAGTTGTTCTGAATTTTTTATTCGTTGTCAGATAAAGGGGCGGAGTTTAATTGCAAAATCCATATTTTTCTACAAAAATTTACCATTTTAAACATATTGGGAAGTTTCTTCTTCTTCTTCTCTTCAATTTTTAAGAAGTAACATAAACTGAAGTGAAACTGAAGAAAAATTCAAACATCGAGAAATCCAAAAATCTAAAAATGAAAAATTGAAAAATTTTAAATAAAAACATAATAAATAGGGAAAAATTGAATATTAGAAGCTTGAAACTTCGGAATCTTGAGATATCGAGAAATCTAAAAATAAGAAATTGAAAAATTCCGAAACTAAAATATCAAAAACTTAAGAAATGGAAGAAAAGTTTAAGAATCGAAAAATTGAAAAATCGAGAAATCTAAAAATCAAAAAGTCCAAAAATATAAAAAGTCGAAACATCAGAAATCGTAAAATTGAGAAATGTAGAATTGAAAAATACAAATACAGGACAAATGAAAAATCAAAAAATCCAGAAATCGAGAAAAAACCAAAAATTTAAAAAACTGAAAAATTAAATATCGAAAAATTGAAAAATCTAAAATTTAACAATTGAAAAATTGAAAAATCTAAAATTTAACATTTGAAAAATTGAAAAATCGCAAAAACGAAAATCCAAAATAAAAAACCGAAAACTTGCAAAATGGAAAAATTGAAGAATTGAAAATGTGGAAAAAAAGAAATTGAAAATTTTCAAACCTGAAATGGTGAAAAATTGTGAAATCAAAAAACTGAACAATCGAATCATCAAAGAATTGGAAATTCGAAAAATCGAAAAATTCAAAAAATGACAAACGTCGAAAATCTAAACATCAACGAAAAATTTAGAAATCGAAGAAGCAAAAATTGAAGAAACGAGAAATTGAAAAGTTGAGAAATCAAAAACTTGAAAAATTGAGCTGAAAAATCGAAACATTGAAAAGTCGAGGAAACAAGAAATCGGAAAATCAAAACATCGATAAAACGAGAAATTGAGAAATCAAAAAAAAAATAAAAATCGAAAATTCAAAAAGCCGAAAAATTGAACAACCAAAAACTCGAAATTCGAAAAGTCAAAAAATTAAGATATCGAGAAATTCAAAAATTGAAAAAATTCCCAAAATTGAACTGCTGAAAAATTAAGAAATGGAAAACACGAAAAATCGAGAACTCGAAAAATCAAAGTCAAAAAATAAAAAAATTAATTCA